AAACTAGAACACTTTTCTACCCCATATGCAAAAATAAACTCAAAATATATTAAAGACCTAAAGTAAGACTTGAAACTATAAAGCTCCTAGAATAAAACATAGGCAGTAAAACTTTTTGAGAGCTTAAAAATGATGGCGGAGTAAGTGGAAGTTACACTGACACTCTCCCAGGACCAAACTGGAAAAACAACTAAAATATAGAAAAACCACCCTGAAAAATCTAATGAAGACTAACTGAAGAGAACCAAGGACAGAAAGTGGAGACTGCATAGAGACTGGTAGGAAGTGCGGAGATGTGAAAGGGCTCACTGGGCTCCCACAGATAGCAGCTGAAGGTCCGGAGGGATATCTCAGCTGGCGGGGGGGGGGGGGTTCCCACTGAGAACTCTGGGGTCTAAACCCCAAGCTGGGCTTCCCAGCAGAAAGCACCACAACTGAGAAAGGTGCCTACAGAACATCTGGCTGTGAAAAGCAGCAGGGTTGCTGTCTGACAGAGAGAGATGGCTAGAAATGCAGGCACCTCTTAAAGGGCCAACACACAGAATTTCGTGTGCAGCCACTCACCTTATGCATTGGCAGAGGGAGGGCAGAGTCGACTGAGCTGTGTGAGGAGAGTCCAGGGTTGGGGATCTGGTGTTGGAGTTCAGAGGGCAGCCACCCCGGTTTCCTGTGAAGAGTCATTGCCTCCTGCTGCGGAGGACATCTTTATCCATGGACATTTGCTATCCAGGCAGTTTGGCCTTGGGGGGAAGACAGCTGCTCCACCCTGTTGGGAGACCTCTTGACCCACCCTAGGTCCATAGCCTGAGGCAAATCAAGACTGAGCGTCAAATGGACTGCAGGCAGAGGCGGATCTCTGGAGGTGTTGAGTCTATGCCTGATCTCCTTCTGGGGCCAGGGTTAGGAAAAGCAGACCCTGGTGCATATCTTGGTCCTTTCCAAAGACAGAAAGCCCCAGAAGAAGGAGCCACAAGCTGTGGATTGCTGATTGCTCCAAACAGGGTACCCAGCGCCAGTCAGAAACAGCCGCTGACCTTGTCCAGCACTAGAGATTGGAAGTCATAGCAGATCTACCTAATACATAGGCACAAACCCAAATAGGGAGCCAAAATGGGGAGACAAAAAGACAAACCCCAAGTGAAAGAATAAGAGAATTCCACAGAAGAAGAGCTAAACAAAATGGAGATAAGAAATTTATCAGATATAGAGTACAGAATAATGACAGCAAAGATGATCAAAGTGTGAGAAAAGGTATCTATAGTAATAAGAGCCTAGGTGGCCCTCGTGCCCTCGTGTGATCCCTGATGTCATCACAAGATGGCCACCCCCACGTTGTCACAAGATGGCCACCACAAGATGACCGCCACAAGATTTATACTAATAAAAGCCTAGGTGGCCTTCTCACCCTCGTGTGACGCCCTCACGTCATCACAAGATGGCCACCCCCACGTCATCACAAGATGGCCACCACCATGTCATCACAAGATGGCCGCCACAAGATAGCCGGCAGGGGATGGCAGTTGGGGGCCATCGGGCCAGCAGGGGAGCAGTTAGGCATCAATCGGGCCAGCTGGGGAGTGGTTAGGAGCGATCAGGCTGGCAGGCAGAAGTGGTTAGGAGCTAGCAGTTCCGCATTGTGAGAGGGATGTCCGACTGCTGGTTTAGGCCAGATCCTCACAGGCCAGTTTGAGGGACCCCATCGGTGTATGATTAATGAAATAAGAGAATCACCATTTTGCAATCATCATGGTAACAGTTGGTTCAAGCCAAAGTCTTCAATGAATTCTAAAAACTAAAGGGTGAAGATTTGAAGACTAGGCTCTCTGCATAGTTCACAATATTTCCCTGTAAATTACACAATTACTTACAAAGGCAAAAAGACAAACTTTACAATGGAAAAACCTGACAGACACCTTCTTACCATCTCCTAAAATGGGACAAAACCAACATGTGTCTCCCTACATGATGCACTAAGAAAGACATAATGGCACTTCTGTGGTCTTCCTGCCAAAGCACATAATCTGTATCTCATCTTTAACAAACATCAGACAAACCCAAGTGAGGAACAAGTGACAAAATTATGGGCTTGGACTCTTCAAAAATGGCAATGTTGTGAAAAAAAGAGAAAGGCTGAAGAACTCTTGTGGATTGAAGAGATTTATGAGACACGAAAGCTGAATGCAGTGAATAATCTGGAATTGGATTCTGGGTGGAGGGGAGGAAGAGAGTGGGGGAGGGGAAAACTAAAAGGGATATTGTTGGGTTAATTGATAAAATTTGAGTACCAGCTGTGGTTTAGCTAATGGCATTAGATGTCTTGATTTTAATCCTTCTATCATCGATATGTAAGAGAATATCCTTGGTATTAAGAAATGCAGCCTGAAGTCTTTAGGGATAAAGGAGCATGATGTTTACAGCTTATTCTTTTTTTTTTTTCAAGCGAGCCCGTCGGGGAACCATGGCACCCGGGACCCACACGCATTCTCAGGGAGAAACTCGGGACGCAGAAGGTCTTCCTGGCATGTGGTGTCCTCCGTGCCAGCCACCAGGAGGCCACGGTCAGACCGCCGGGCCTGGGTGTGCGCCCACAGAGCCCTGGAAGATCTGCCTGGGTTTCGCTATTCCGTCCCACATTGGATGCGTCTGCGCCTGCCAGGGTTCCCTAAGTCCCCTGTGGGACAAGCGGGGTGCAGCCGCACGACCTCCTTGCATCCCTTCCGAACGGAGGGGCTGGCATTTGCCCTGCACCCAGGGGAGATGGAGGCCCAGGGAGAAGGGCCGGGACCAGCTCTCGGGGCTCCACGCCCATGCTCCCCGCTGGGTGCTCACCGGAGGGCCCTCGGCCCCTGCTGCTATAACGCACAGCCTGCAGGACGCCCTGTCTGCCCGCGGGCCCTGGCGGCCTGCCCAGACGCTCCAGGGGGCCTGGGTGGCCGAGTGGCGCCCACTTATGTACAACTTATTCTTAAGTGGTTTGGGGGGAAGGGAGGGAATGCATGTATGTGTATTATGTAAAAGTAGGTTTACAGTTGTTTGTATGGAAAATCTATATATATAAAAGCCTAAGTAACTGTTAGGACTGGATGACTGGCTGGTAGCTATGATGCACACTGACCACCAGGGGGCAGATGCTCAACACAGGAGCTGCCCCCTGGTGGTCAGTGTGCTCCAACAGCCAACCTCCGTGGTCCCTCCCCCCTGCCTGCTGGCCCCAATCGGCCTGATCACCAGCCAGGCCGAGGGACCCCACCCGTGCATGAATTCGTGCGCCAGGCCTTTAGTCTATAATAATAAAAGCATAATATGCAAATCAACCGAAGGGCTGAGCAGCAGAATGACCATCCAGATGACCACACTATGATACGCACTGGCGCCAGGCTAGCCAAGGCAGGTGCGATGCGATTGGTCAGGGGGCCGCCATCGCCCCAAAGGAGGCCCAGGCCACCCTCTGCAGGGTGATCCATGCAAGGAGGCGGGGGGGGGGGTGGGGATTCCACGATCGATTGCCCACAGAGGGAGGCCCAGGCCACCAGCTGGCGGTCAATAGATGGGGGTGGGGGGCTCCAATTGCCCCAAAGAGGGAGGCCCAATCCATGAACATGGGGGGCGATAGATTGGGGGTGGGGCTCCACAGAACTGGGGAACCGGTTGTGTGTGGCAGTGGATGCGGGCTGCGCCAGGCCAAGGCGGGTGTGGGGCTGAGAAAGAAAACAGACCTGGGTTCAAATTACAGGCAGACCAAACTTGGGGTGAGAAGAGGTCTTCTGCTTGGCTACTGCCCAGCCTGCAGGCTGAGGTTGTCACCTCTGTTCAGGGAGCAGATGGAGTTGAGAGAGAGGTGGGCGGGAGAGAAGGAGGCTTAGAGCTTTGCTACAGCAGTGCTGTGAGCACCCAACCCCAACCCAGGGGTGGAGATTGGAGCAGCCAGTGCAGACCTGAAGCCCTTTCCTCACTGAGAATGAATGAGGGTCCTCAGGACAGGGTCATTTTTATTTCTTACATTTCTTCAAGTCAATTCAATTGATTGAATTTTTTTTTAAAAAAACTTAGCCTTTCCTAAGCTTGTATAGAAAAAAAAATCACCAGTGTGGTATGCTGGTTTTCTTTTGTTCTGATACACACTAAATAAAGCATAAATATTAGTGGAAAAATCATTCCTAGCCCTTCCTTGAATCACCTGGCTGTCTGGCGTGGGGGTGGGGTGGGACTTCAGGCAGCACAGGGTTACCCAGAATCCCTCATTATTGACATTGTTCTGCTCCTTAGGGCAAAGTCCTTAAGGGCATTCCCACCAGGCCAGACCTGCTGGAGCCAGGCTCTGTTGTCAGGGGACAGGTGTGTCAGGGCAGGGCCCCTGTGTGTGCAAGAGATCTGGTAGAAAGTTCCACTGTGGCTGCTGTGAGCCCCTACTATTCTCTGCCTCGTCTCATACCACCTAGCCTTAGTTCAGCTCCTGGAATTTCCCCAAACTCGTTCCCACTTGAGGCTTTCACGCAGGGTGTTCCTGGGTAACTTTCCTTCCACAGGGACCTCTGACCACTGAGGCCCTAAGGCATGCTTCTGTTCTATGCTCTAAAAGTACACTTTGCATTTACCTTGGGAGCGGGTGTCACAAGTGGCAGTCAGGCATTATGTGTAAGGTTATTTGTCTACTGTTCTTCTCCCTGGGAGACTGCCAGTCCTGTGAGGAAAGGGCTTGGGCAGGCTGCAGGGCAGGGGCCCCTCCCCAGGGCTCACAGCCAACTACCACTGCATCTCTTCCTTTCTCCTGCCTAGGGACAAAGCAGCTTCCTTCCATCACCTTCCCTCCCAACTTGGGTTTGGTTATTCCTGCCTCTAGACTTTGACTTTGACCTCTGTTGAATCCTCTGCCTTCTTGGAAAAACAGAGGAAAGCTGCCTTCCTCAAGAGCCACCCGAATTTTGTGCAGCCCTGAAGCTCTCTTTTTACTGCTCCCTTAGCACCTTGGGGCCTTGGGGCTCCTGTGGCTTCTCACCAAAATGGCAGTGGAGCACAGTGGTAAGGGCATTGACTGAGGAGCTGGGGCTCTGTGTTCAAATCAGAGCTGCACAGTTACCAGCTGGGGGACCCCAGAGAAGTGATTTAACTTCTTGCATTGGCTCCTCCAAACACCTGGAGGCCTCATCAAAACACAGAGTGCTGGGTCCACACCAGAGTTTTCCATTCCTGCAGCCTGGAATGGGGCCTGAGAATTTTCCTTCCAAACAAGTGCCCAGGTGATGCTGTTGCTGCTGGTGCAGGGACTCCACTTTGAGAACCATTGTCATAGTTGCTATAGAAGGTACACGGAGATGAGTTAATATAAATCAGGTAGAATCATGTGGCAGGAAGTAAGTGCTAACAACTGTTAGTTATTAATACCACTTACACCAGAGGATCTGAGCTTCTTTATTTTTTCTTGTTTGTTTGTTTATTTATTTTAAGTGAACTTTAAATTATATTTTTCAATCACAGTTTACATTCAATATTATTTTGTATTAGTCTCAGGTGTACAGCATAGTGGTTAGACAATCATATATATTACAAAGTGTTTCTGCCAATATTTCCAGAACCCACCTGGCACCATACATAGTTATTTTACAATTTTAATCATTTTTTATTTTCAACTGTAGTTGACATACAACATTATATTAGTTGCAGCTGTACACCCAAGTGACCAGACATTATATAACTTAATGAGTGATCACCCCAATAAATCCTGAACATATACCTTCACCTTTTTCACCTAACCTCTCAATCCCCTCTAATCTGGCAACCAACAAAAAATTCTCTATGAGTCTGTTTCTGTTCTGCTTGTTCATTTTGTTTGTAGATTCAATTGCTGATAGATATGTATTTATTGCCATTTTGTTGTTCATATTTTTTATCTTCTTCTTAAAGAAGACCCTTCAGCTTTCATATAATACTGGTTTGGTGGTGATGAACTCAGTTAGCTTTTTCTTGTCTGTGAAGCTCTTTATATGTCCATCAGTTCTAAATGATAGCTTTGCTGGGTAGAGTAATCTTGGTTGTAGGTCCTTGCTTTTCATCACTTTGAATATTTCTTGCCACTCCCTTCTAGCCTACAAAGTGCCTTTTGAGAAATTAGCTGATGGTCTTATGGGAGCTCACTTGCATGTAACTAACTGCTTTTCTCTTGCTGTTGTTAAGATTCTCTCTTTGTCTTTATCCTTTTGCCTTTTGATTATGATGTGTTTTGGTGTGGGCCTCTTTGGGTTCATCTTGTTTGAGACTCTCTGTGCTTCCTGGACTTGTATAGGGTGTCCCAAAATTCACGCAAGAAGTACTTTTGATAGAAAACACAGGTTTATAATTAAAAATTGTAATTTTTTTATTGATTCATAAAGTATACAGTATAGGGTTATGTATGGAATAGCACATTGGGTAAATGGCCTCCATGGCTTTGCTGGCACATACGCAAAACTGTGGTCTTCATTGGTCTTCATTGTCCCTGCTCCTGGGCCATAATTGGTACTTGGTAATGCTTATCAAATTGAAGGGATTGAAATCAAAGGGCAACAGATATTAGCATCTGATTCAATAAACCAAGTAAAATTAGGCTTTTATTTTTTTTTGTTGTTGTTGTTAATGCTCACGTAAAATTCAAATCTTGCGTGAATTTTGGGACACCCTATATGTCTGTTTCCTTCACCAGGTTAGGGAAGTTTTCTGTCATTATTTCTTCAAATAGGTTTTCAATTTCTTTCTCTCTCTCTTCTTTTTCCAGTACCCCCATGATGCAAATGTTGGTATGCTTGAAGTTATCCCAGAGGCTCCTTATATTATCCTCATTTGGGGGAAATCTTTTCTCTTTTTGCTCTTCTGATTGGGTGTTTTTTGCTTCCTTATATTCCAAATTGATGATTTGATTCTCAGCTTCACCTATTCTATTGTTGAATCCCTATAAATTATTCTTTATTTCAGTTAGTGTATCCTTCATATCTGACTGGTTCATTTTTATATGCTATTGAGGTCCTCACTAAGTTCCTTGAGCATCCTTATAACCAGTGTTTTGAGCTCTGCATCTAGTAGGTTGCTTGTCTCCAATTTGTTTAGTTCTTTTTCTGGAGTTTTGTTCTGTGTTTTTTTTTCATTTGAGCCATGTTTCTTTGTCTTCTCATTTTGGCCCCTTCCTGGTGTTTGTTTCTATATATTAGGTAGAACTGCTATGTCTCCTAGGCTTGGTATCATGGGCATAGGGTGCCCAGGCAAGGCCAAGCTGTGAACCAAGGCTGGCTGCTGCTAGTGCTGGGCCTGGGACTACTTAGTGAGAGGTATGGGACTTGCTGAGGCAAGATGATGCTTGTTTAAGAGATTTTAAGAAAATCTGAAGCATGAGCCAAGACAGGCCATTCCTGTGGTAAACCCACTGGAAACAGTTTGGGTGGGCCTGGAAGTTGGTGGGACAGGATCTCAGGGAATCACCAAAGTGGGGCAAACAGTGTGAGTCAGGTTGAGGGAGTCTCAGATATGGCACCTGTCTACAGGCTCCATGGGGGAAGGGCTCATCAAAAGAACAATGGCTTCTGCCAGCACTTCTGTCTGGCAGAATTTTGCCCCTCCAGCTCTCACCCTGATGTCAAATAATTTAGTTCCTCCCTCTATGTTTCTGGTGGCTTCCAAGCTGCTGCCCCCATGCTGGAGCTCAGAGGAAGTGAGTCTAAGTTTGTGCAAGGGCCCTTTAAAAGAAACTTCCTGGGACTCCAACAGCCTCCATTTCCCTCAGACTCAAACTCTGCTGATTTTTACAACCAGAACTTATGGTGAATTCTCTCCCTGGCACTGGAATCCTGAGCTGGTGGGCCTGGTGTGGTACTCCTCAGGGGGTACCTTCACAGCTGAGATATCCCTCCTGATTTTTATTCACCAAACATGAGTGTGGCACCAGCCTTCTGAGTCTCTGCCCCTCCGACCAGTCCTGATGTGGCTTCTTCTTTAATTTCATAGTGGTAGGACTTGCATTCAGCTCAGTTTCAGGTGGTTCTAAATGATGGTTGTTCTGTAGTTTAGTTGTAATTTTGATGTGATTGTGGGAGGAGGCAAGTACTGCATTTGCCTACACCTCCATCTTGACTCAGTTATTACAATATTATTGACTATATTCCCTATGCTGTGCTTTATATCCCATAACTATTTTGTATCTACCAATTTATATTTCTTAATCCCTTCACATTTTTCACCCAGTCTGCCATTGCCCCCTCCTCTCTGTCAACCATCAGTTTGTTCTCTGTATCTATGAATCTGTTTCTGTTTTGTTGTTCATTTATATTGTTCTTTAAATTCCACATATGAGTGGAATGCTGCCTATGGTTTCTTCTAGGATTTTTATGGTTTCACAACTTACATTTAAGTCTTTTATACATTTTGAGTTTATTCTTGAGTATGGTATAAGTTGGTGGTCTAGTTTCTTTCTTTCTAACCACCACTGCCTGCCAGCCTGATCACCCCCAACTGCCCACCCCTGCTGGCCTGGTCACCCCCCAAACTGCCCTCCTCGCCAACCTGGTTACCCCAACAGCCTGCTGGTCAGTGCTTCGGTTGTCCCTCACTAACCCTCCTGCCGGCCTGGTCACACCACGCAGCTGCCGTGTGATTGTTACTGTTACTTTTCGGTCATCCCATCTGGTCGTGACAGGCCTAGGCTATTATTAGTATAGATCAATCAACCACTGTAAAAAAATAAAATAATTGACAGTTTGGTGTTTTTATTTGTTTGTTTGGTTTCATTTCTCCATTGACAAAGTTACTCACATTTTAGTATTATAAATAAGTCATAGCTAGTCCTTGCAGTGGTAGGTACAGTGATGAGAAGACATGGTGTTGATCTTAAAATAGTTAGCATTTATTTGCCCCAAGAGTTGTTTTCCTGTTTTGAAACACATTACATTAGGAGGGAAAAAGAGGCCAATGACCCTCTTTGAGGGCGCAGAGTTGAACCCACATTTCCCATGAACAAAGACAAGTGCTTAGGTACAAAATAACGTCAGTTATTTGCACAGTATTGCTATGAATCTACACACATTTTAAATGCATTCAAATATTTTGTATTTCTTAATAACGTCTTCTTAAATTTATTATGTTTAACTAGAGGCCCAGTGCATGAAATTCATGCACTGGTAGGGTCCATAGTGGCTACCGGCTGCTGGCTGGGTACTCCCTCCCTTCCCCTGGCCACCTGCTGCTACCAGCTGGGGCATCCTGCCACCACTATCGGTCAGGGCCTCCCTGCCTTCCCCTGGCTGGCCCTACCCCCTGGTCGAACTACTGGATGGACTCCCGGTCGAGGGGACAATTTGTATACTAAACTTTTATTATATAAGATTTTATTTTTAATATTTCTCTTTTCTTTTTAACTGTAAGAGACCTTCATTGGGTAAATTACAGAGGTAGAAAAAGTAATCCTAGAAGAAATGAACTTAGCAAACAAGTTCTAGAGTTAAAGGAAGGGCCCTTGGAGCTTGGGAGTGAGGAAGCTAATGGTAATGTGGTGGGGGCGGGGAGGGGAAGGGAAAACATGGACATGCTCATGGGAGGGAGAGTGCTCTCTTTTATTTTTCATTATTTTACTTTTTAATGGCAAAATTGCCTTATGGCCAGTTATATGGCAAAAACATTTCTGGCAAAAATTCTTGAAGGAAAGATGCTAGAATCAAGGTATCTAGAACCTCCCAGGACATCACTGCTTTTTGAAGACCTTGTTCTTCCCTCTTTTATTCCTAATGCCCAGCAGTCAGCAGAGTGGTGTCAGAGTGAAGATTTCTCAGAAGCTTCCCTTATCATCTGTAGGATTTGCATGGCTTTGCCTATTGTCCAGTTCTGGTTTCAAATACTCACAGACTAGACACCTGATAAAAGTGGTGAGGTTTTAGTTCCAAGACTTGCCCATATAATCATAGTTCACATAAGTTATCTTCTTCCTTTCTGATATCTGTGGGCTCTTTCTCAACCCTTGGGGGTTCCTGAAACGTCAATGTTCATGGTCGGATTCCCTACCTTTCAAGCCTATAGAACAGTGATGGCGAACCTTTTGAGCTCGGCGTGTCAACATTTTAAAAACCCTAACTTAACTCTGGTGCCGTGTCACATATAGAAATGTTTTGATATTTGCAACCATAGTAAAACAAAGATTTATATTTTTGATATTTATTTTATATATTTAAATGCCATTTAACAAAGAAAAATCAACCAAAAAAAATGAGTTCGCATGTCACCTCTGACACACGTGTCATAGGTTCGCCATCACTGCTATAGAATAATTGGATGGTGAAACTAAACAACAAATACTTTCAAGTTGACCTGTGCCTTTTCCAGCAGGCTGACAGTTCTAATCTGCTTGGATTGAGTCATTGTCATTTCCTAAGAGCTGGATACAGGGGAACTTGTGGAGGAGCTCACTCTGAAACTCATCTGATGTAGAAACTCCATACACTGAGAAAAAACTGACCAGACATTTGAGTGTTCCTTCCAAACTGACTCCAAGCCCACATCCCCTTCATTGCCTCTTTTCCCCGCTTCCCAGATCGGCATGCCTCTTAGTCACCTTCAGAGCCACTAAGAGGCAGGGGGTGTGTCCAAAGGGTGAAAATTAGTTACTGAAGACTTCACTGTGCTTCCCCTTTCACTCTCAGATGCTGCCAGGGTCTCTGAAGAGAGAAGACACCAGGAAACAGGTAAAAACTATTTTTGTTTTGGTGGTTTGTGTGTGTGTTATTTTTTTTGCATTCAACAGGCAAGTATAGAGCAGCTACTGTGTGCCAGGCACAGTTCTTGGGGTTGGTAGTACAATGGGACCCTCTCCCTCTCTTGCTGTGTTATAGCAGGTTGTAGAGGCCTGTCTTTGAGCATCTCCCCTGCTGGGCTTGGTGAGCCTCTGAGAATAGGATGGTCACTGGATGTCCAAGAGGGAAGAATGAACTCAGGGAGGCTGGCTCTGAGGTCCTGAACAGTGTAGCCTTGTCCTGAGTCTTTGTGCCTAATGCCTACTGTCCCTAGCCTCCACACTCCACCATGCTTTAGCAGCCTTTCAATTCCAGGCCTGGAGCCCACTTCTTGTGCCCCAGAGACTTTCTGGAGCTCCTTCAGGTAAGCACCCAGCCCCTCTCCCATTCATCCTGGAATTATTAAGCCAGTTCTCAATGAGAGGGTGGATGCTGGCTGCTGGCACAGCGGCCCAGCTGCTGAAGGCTAGTCTTTGCATGGAATCTGGCCCTTGCCACAGACCTTGTGCAAACTCAAAGGGGTTCCAAAGTGCATCTCTAAAAACACTGACCCTGCAACCCTGCTGAGTTTTTCATGGAAAATGTAAAGTAGTCCCCATGGCTAAAGAAGTATGTACCCTAACCCCATGCTGGGAAATGTATGACACTCCCCCTCCCCCACGGACTCCCCACCCCCCACCCCCCACCATTGATTGAAAGGCCTGCAGTAAAGTCTTATATAACTTTTTAAACCCAGTTTCTCTCAAATGGATCTGACCTTGAAGACTTTTTTTGTGTGTGTGTGTGTGTGTGTGTGTGTGTAACACTATTAGTGCCTACAGAGCTGGTGTCAGCTCTGCCTGGAGAGACTGCACCCGTTCAGATCCCTTACCCCTAATCCCTGCCTGGGCCAAGCCAGCACAACCACTACCCCTGGGGACAGACCCCTTCATGCTTTCAGCACACCAGGTACTGCATACCCAACAGCCTTTGGCAGAAGCCACATAGCTGGTGGGGGGTGGGGGACACTGATGTGTGGGAAATGTTGGCTGGGTGGGTGGGAGGGGCACGGATCTGTGCTGAGAAAGGAGACACACTCTGTGGACACATCCTGCCTGACTCCCCAGGGACGGCATTGAGGGCACAGCCATGCAAATTAAGACTTAAATTTAACTTTATGTAAATGTAACTTTGTAAAAGTATAGTAAGGTGGTGGCCAGCTCACTGGAGAGAGGGAGAGCGACAGAAAGAGGGAGAGAGAGAGAGAGAGATGTTGAACATTGGCAGTCCTTAGACTGTCTGTGGTGCACAGACAGGCTGCTTGTTTATGTTTTTTTTTAAGCAGGATATTTCACATGGCAATTTGGCTTCTCTTAAAACAGTGGAAGATCAGGTAGTGCTGAGCCCATATTCCCACTTGGCCACAATTGGCTAGACCCAGGATCACCTGGTTGATTTATGTTTCCTACCCAGCCCCTAGAGCATCTGAGAGGGACCCCTGGACTTCTAAGTCTTCTCAGACCCCTTAAAGATCTCTCCTGATATCATACTTAATTATTAGGTCA